CATGAAGCATTCCTTTTCTGCTTCTCTTCCGCCTTGCAAGCTTGCTGTCCATAATTGCGCTTTTCCTTCGCTGTTTATACTGCATATATGAAACCTACAAGTGAAATTGCTGAATATTTTGTATATTGCTATGTTGTGTTCATTACTCAACGGAATTATTTCTAAATAAAAATTATCATCAGGCATTCAGTATCATCTACTTCATGTTCCACGCCATCATTACCATCTAAATCATCATCATATATAACATATAAATTTACCTGCTTTCGAGTTTTGAGATAAGAAAGAAAATAGAACATGAAATTTTTATAATTTTTAACATTTAAAAGAACATTAAAAATTGTCAGCTGCAAAAATACGGAATAAATTTCACTTCACGATCGATATAGAAGCAAAATCTGACTTTTATTAAATTTCTTCATTAATCACGGAATCCTTCCCTTTTTAATGGATTCATTTCCTTTTAATTCTCAGCGCTGGAAAAGAGTTGAAATTTTGGGAATTTATTGTGCGGCTGCAGAATTTTTATTAGCTTAAACGGTTTCCCCCAGAAAAGCACTCTCTTGTCGAAATATTAATTTCTTAAATTAATTTGATAGCGTTTATTTAAATTTCGTTTTTATCTTTAATCACGATTTTAACTGCATATTCCACTTTTGCTTCGCATTATAGCCATTAAAAGAAAAACAACATATGTTACTGCAATCCAATTTTAATAACGATGGAAATACAATTAAAGAATTCCATTTAAAGGCTTTGATTTCTTAAGCACTTTCATTTTGTTTCGCCGTACTTGAAACGAAAAACAAATATAAGCCAAATCAGTAACTTTACAAAGGCATATTTTTCTAATTCTAAATTACGATAATGAGTTATTTTTTTTAGCTCAAGGTAATTTTTAAAACTGTCCTCCTTCCCTCGAACAATTTATGTATTTATTCTTTTTCTGTTTAATGAAATCTTTGTGATGGGGTTTGTATTCCATAATTTTACTTTTAAATTTTAGATCGCAGTGTTGGGAACTCGCTTTAGTGGCTGAGAGGTGCCACTCATCAAGGTTCAAAAGGCTGTAAAGCTATTTATAGTAGAAAGAGCTGTTAAATTACTAAGCATATGTTACTGCAATCCAATTTTAATAACGATGGAAATACAATTAAAGAATTCCATTTAAAGGCTTTGATTTCTTAAGCACTTTCATTTTGTTTCGCCGTACTTGAAACGAAAAACAAATATAAGCCAAATCAGTAACTTTACAAAAGCATATTTTTCTAAATTTCTAAATTACGATAATGAGTTATTTTTTTTAGCTCAAGGTAATTTTTAAAACTGTCCTCCTTCCCTCGAACAATTTATGTATTTATTCCTTTTTCTGTTTAATGATAATCTTTGTGTATGGGGTTGTATTCAATAATTTTACTTTTAAATTTTAGATCGCAGTGTTGGGAACTCGCTTTAGTGGCTGAGAGGCTGCCACTCATCAAGGTTCAAAAGGCTGTAAAGCTATTTATAGTAGAAAGAGCTGTTAAATTAGTACTAAAATTATATCGTACTTGAACAAAAAGCTCATTAACCCTCTGCCATTAAACCGTGCAGAAAGTATTCGTGATTAGAAAAATTAAAATATCCATACCTACATTAGGCAAACCTATTAGAGCATTAAAGATACTGCTCGTTTTTGCCATGAAATTAAAGAAATTTCAAGTGCTGTAAAACAAGGATAACAAAACAGAAAGGCATTAATGATGTATGAAACTTATATTAAATAGCAGCTCTTAAAAAAGCTAATACACGAGAAAGCTCTAAAGATATTTTAAGCACTGTAGCAGCATGAACGAGGAATGGATAATTTTTGCTTTAAGTCAAGCTTTTACAGTGAGCACATATCAGAAACGACTAGTATTAATGAAAGCCAACTCTTTTTGGTCGCAGTTACTTGTTGGAAAAAAGACTTAATTTAAGCCATAAACAGGTTGGCAATCGAGAAAATAGCTTCTGTATAATCAATTTTTAACATAAAAGTACACTGGTAACGGATAACGGGAAAAGGACTACCTCAAAATGTTAATTTTGTTTGAACACACGAGAAATTATATTTTCGAAACTCGGGTCAGGAATTTCAGTAAATTAATTACAGTAACAGGTTAATGTAAAGCTATTTATAGTAGAAAGAGCTGTTAAATTAGTACTAAAATTATATCGTACTTGAACAAAAAGCTCATTAACCCTCTGCCATTAAACCGTGCAGAAAGTATTCGTGATTAGAAAAATTAAAATATCCATACCTACATTAGGCAAACCTATTAGAGCATTAAAGATACTGCTCGTTTTTGCCATGAAATTAAAGAAATTTCAAGTGCTGTAAAACAAGGATAACAAAACAGAAAGGCATTAATGATGTATGAAACTTATATTAAATAGCAGCTCTTAAAAAAGCTAATACACGAGAAAGCTCTAAAGATATTTTAAGCACTGTAGCAGCATGAACGAGGAATGGATAATTTTTGCTTTAAGTCAAGCTTTTACAGTGAGCACATATCAGAAACGACTAGTATTAATGAAAGCCAACTCTTTTTGGTCGCAGTTACTTGTTGGAAAAAAGACTTATGTATGGGTTGTGTATGGGGTTGTATTCAATAATTTTACTTTTAAATTTTAGATCGCAGTGTTGGGAACTCGCTTTAGTGGCTGAGAGGCTGCCACTCATCAAGGTTCAAAGGTGTAAAGCTATTTATAGTAGAAAGAGCTGTTAAATTAGTACTAAAATTATATCGTACTTGAACAAAAAAAGCTCATTAACCTCTGCCATTAAACCGTGCAGAGAAATTCGTGATTAGAAAAATTAAAAAATCTATAACGTTGCGAAGAACAGCCATTTGATAGTAACAGAATTTTATAAGTTAGTCGATAAATTTATTAAATATTTCAACACATATTAATACATTTATCAGACACTTTTCCTTTGATAAGAATTTACTATCTATAAGATATGTTCTAAAAGGTTTATTTCCTTCTTCATCATGGAAATGCAATTAAAAATTCCGATAAAAACTTATCGGATTATAAAATATACAGTTTTGACATTCCTTGTGACAATTCCCCTCCGCAAAATGTGCTAAATAGTTAATCTTACGTAATATAATGTGAGGGTGATTGGTTGAAGTCAAGAGACTCAAGAAACAGTGTCAAATGTTTTTCCTTCGAAGTATTAAAAGATTTCGCAACTATTCAGAAACTAATATTCATAATAATTTATTATTGCAAATTAGAAAATTGCAGTACTTTTAGAGATAAATGAAGAAATAAAACTAAACCAAAGGAAATTTACTAGCTGATCAGATTGACATTCGAATAACAGAAGCAGTTGGAGATTAACAACACAAAAGTGACTGTTAAGCAATCAGGCTGAACGCTATAAAACAGTCCCCTCTCCCAAATTTAGCTTAAAGACCCAGTCCTGAATCAATAAAGAAGACCCTTGTGCAAGTTTAAAGAGAAATAAGCACATTTCTTTTATTGTTGAATTTAGGAAAGTCACAAGAAACGCATATTTCAATCACTGCAAGAGTGAAAGTTTGTCACAGCCTAGTGTGGAAATTACAGTGAATGTGCAAGTCTGACTAATATAACTTTGCAGAACCATGAAGATGTGATATATGAATATAACACATGACAATTCTACGTTGCTGCAGTCGGGTCAATTGTTCTTGATAGTCAAGCGAATTTCTAAAGTTAACTAAAGACAAAATCTTGGTCAGCAGATTAGCAACGTTTGCTTGAACAAAATTATTTTAAATGCTAAGGGAAAAACGAAGTGACAAGATTATATTATTTTGAAAAATCTTTCGAAAACATTTTAAAAAAATTTTCCAAGTACTATACACACGTTATACAAAACCTTGCACTTTTGTTTTAGGATTATAACCTGAAGTTTTCCAGGAAGTACTAGACGAACTTATCAAATGCATTTCACAATATTTTGAGACACCAGTTCTTATGTTATTTTATGAACATTATAAAGTTTCTAGAAAATAAACAACGAATGTGCAAAGGAATTCTCGGGAGCTACAGGAATATTTATTAGGGAAAATGACAATATCGCCAAATAAGTTGAGAAAATGTCTTTTTCGCGTGAAAATACACATACATAAAATAAACGCGCAAAATATATTTAATGTAAGAAGCTATCGGAAGGGACTTTTATTATCAACTTTTAAGAAACCAAAATTATGAAGAATTAAATTTCCGATAGAGTTAGCTTTTGTCACTCGAAACACCTTGCTAAAAAATTCACTGCAAATTTATTTATACTGCAGAATGTCGTTAGTCAAAAATTCTGATGTGAAGCTTCGCTGAAAGTGCACTCTTCAGCATTTTCTTATCAGTGTATGCACTAGAGTTAAAAAGGTTGGGTGATAATGATCTTTGAATTACGCGATTCTGGGTAAATGCGATAAGCGTAGTTGCAGAGATTATAAAGATAAAACTAGCCTACTGCAATTTAATTTAATTGCAATTTAACGTAAAATCTATAACGTTGCGAAGAACAGCCATTTTGATAGTAACAGAATTTTATAAGTTAGTCGATAAATTTATTAAATATTTCAACACATACTTTAATACATTTATCAGACACTTTTCCTTTGATAAGAATTTACTATCTATAAGATATGTTCTAAAAGGTTTATTTCCTTCTTCATCATGGAAATGCAATTAAAAATTCCGATAAAAACTTATCGGATTATAAAATATATTAACGTTGAATACGGTATGAATCCTGTCGTAATTATTTTTGCTGTCCATACTCGAAAATAATCGGACTAAATTCATAACGAAACAAGCGAATCGATAATAGCAATGAATATGCAAAAGGTTCTAGTTCCCATTTTCAATATATTCTATTAAAAAAATCCCCGTCAAATGCAGAACAGCTGCATTTAATCAAACACCAAAAATCCATTAAACAATTTGATCAATGATAAAAAAATAATTTTGCTTTTTACCTGGAACAACCTCCATTATCTTCAGGGGGATCTTTACTCTCACTAGAGGGCGCAGCCTGCAAAGAAAGACAAAATTAAGACAAAGGAAATGCTAATTGAATACTTTTTAAGAAGAGTACATCTTAAATTTTATTCTTAGTGGCTTCCTTCCTCTTTAAACCTTTTGCCCCTTTCTTTGAAATCGAGGCAATTTACAATGCCTGTAAATCCATTAACTCTGAAATGGTGAATCGGAATTATACAGTTCCAATAGAAACAAAATTCTGTTTCAATACGACTGTAAAACGGAAAGATGAGAAAAGGAGTAAACGTAACAGCAAGCAATTTATTTATTCGAGTACCATAATAAATGTGACGGTTTTACAAAACTGCCCAAACTCATCAATCGTTGTAAAGATTTGTTGTGTTTAAGGGATCCAATTAAAAAGTTACGAGGTCAAAAACTCAAAATACAGAAAATTATTTAAATGTTTCTCATTCAGCAATGCATAATTAATTGTAATTTGAAATTAATTTACACTCTTTTATGAGTTACAAAACTGATACAATTAGCAATATTAAAAAAAAGTGCTCTGTAATGGGCAAGTTCATTGGCACTGCGAAACTGCTTTACCAACAGAAATATTTTCGACCACTCAAACCGGAAAATGAAAGAGTTAAATTAAATTTTAGATTACTTATTTCTTAGTAAGAGTTCCTTATTTCACAATGAGCTTATAAGCAGTTGAACAGAAAACAATAATTATGTACAAATAATATAATCGTGTAAAAATAATGATATACATTTAAGAAGATTTAAAGCGTAAATTCGTTCGCGCTGTGGACAATCAATTTAGCCAGGCTCCAGGATCGACGACAGTATGTAAGATCTCTGAGCGCAGTTATTATTTAAGTTCTGCTGAAGTTAGAAAAAACATACCATTAAACCGTGATGCTATAACATTAGACATATAGTACTAGCCACGAGGAATGGGAACTTATAACAATATTGGTAGCATTCATATAATTGTATGGATTTCAGCATATTTGCACTCCAATATTTATGTCATCGTAAGGTTAATCGGAGGTGTAAACAAATAAAAGTCTGATATCAAAGATATTTGATGCAAGTGTTACCATTCCAGGCGCAAACAATATTACACAGCAATAACCTTGATGATGGATGAAGCAGCTTAATAAGTCTATCGCTACAGCGGGAAGACAATTTATTCATTGCGCCGATCTGTTAGGCAGTAGACACGAAAGGAGGGGAGTTCTTTACTCTGGTAAAAATCGGAAGTATATCGGTAAATCTAATCCGACGTTGCGATACTGACTGCCATTTCAAAGAACAACCTTTTCAGCGAAATGCTTCCTGCGAAGACGTTCGGCAAATTTATTTCATAAGAGACCTAAACTCAAAAATAAAATTGCTTTTATGCTCTTATTCTACGTGTCATCCCCTTTCAGTGTGGAGGAGTGTTATAAGGGGTGGGAAGGAAGGAGAAAAAAAAACAGGGTTTCGCAGGAATGCAAACCCAGAGTCATCCTCTTACAGAAAGCAGAAACGCAATATTTCGCGATACATTTATGTCTCTCTATCGTACGGTAAGTCCGAGAGTAGAAGAGACAGAAAAGACACAAACAGAATAGAGGGAATACAAGACGAGAGAGACAGAGTGGATTGAAGGAGAAATTTGGCTGATGCTGCCAAGCCCTGCTACGTCCACTTCATTAATAATGGAGGCCCAGTAGTAGCTTCTGGACTAGGGAGCACAGGAGGGAAGCAAAGGCAGCGGTTGTGAGGAGAGGGGTGATGACATGATGGTTTGGCAGATTTCTCTCCCTCTTTCCATGCATTCCTCCTCAACTCTCTACTTCAGAATCTCTATGTATACGTACGTGCTCGGAGGGGCCGTGCAAAATGGGGGCGTCTGGGGGAATCCGTAGACGACGCGCTTGGTGTATGTGGTTATTCCTATTGATTTTGCTTTGCGAGGTAGAGCGTGAATAGGATGTTAGATTGTGTCAACTGGCGGTTTGAATGCGAAGTGTTGATGATTGATTATAAGGAATCTGAATTCGGTTTCTAATTGGTTGCTGTTTCAAATGGGACGTCGCACGGTCCTGTCACGCGCATCACGCAGCGCTCCCCATCACTAAATTTTTTTAGTCATCTCTCCTCCCAATCAAGGAGTGTTTCTCACGGAAATGACAAAATATTGTCACTACAGAAGCTTAATTAAGCTCTTCTTCCGTAATAAATCAAGCTTTGAAATTTGTAATTCCCATCATTACTGGTAACAGAAATTACAGGTACGCAGTTTTTCGTTAAAAGTTTCATTCGTTAAATAAAATGTATGAATACTGTGATCCACATCAGCTTTGCAAAGATTCCTAAACTAGAATCTGAAATAATTTTGAACATTTTCATCCTATATTAAGAAAAAATTCGTAAACCAAAATTTTTTTGCAAGTAAAAATTTTCAGTAACTTAATTTCACAGCATCAATGCTTTACCTCAGGTAACTGTTTTGTTAAATTATAATTCAAAAATATATTTTACAATAACGAAACTAATATTTTTAATAATAACATTAGCAAAAACATAGCTTAAAACTACAGACCCAGGCGCAACAAAGAAACTGAAATAATTAAGGATTGCTAATATTGTATAAATAAAAGACACCGATCTATTAGCTAAGTAAACACTCAGGCATTCAGACCAACTTAGAATAACCGGGACTTTAAAATTATATTCTACTGCTAAACGCGACTGCGGAAACATGCTCCATTCATAAATATGTATTCTTCGCTAATGATGTTAAAATTTCAAGATAACTATATGAGACATCAGTCCGGTATCAAAATAAAAACTAAGTCTACTTTTAAAAATGCAAGCTTTTAAAATTATTTTTTATCATTATACGCGAGTATGGAAACACACCAAATCTTTATTCTTGACATATAATTAAAATTTCAACCACTGTGAACAGTTTTTACTTCAGATGAATAATAAAGTTTAAGTTATTTCATCTATTAGATTAAAGTAATATTTAATATGCAGCTGTCTTCTTTTAAGGTAAGAATGGCAGCAGCTTACCTAAGAAGTGCTAGTATTATCTCTAACTTTTGATTTTCTCTCCTTAACCTATAATCAGCAACTGGATCACGTCCAGAAACATCCTGAAGTCCTTTACGAAGGTCGTAACTGCGGCAGCATACTTTCACTAACAATCTCGTATAACAAAAGCAAAAGCGTAATGATTGTTTCTCCATTCCTCCACGCATTGGACGGCTCTCCTGGTTCACTTGCGAATCAAGGATTATTACTATTTGTTATTTACGAAATCGGATTGGGGGCTATAAAGCTATGTTTGCAGGACCAAAAAGAAAGATTTCGCAAGCAGAAAACTTCCACGAGTAATTGGCTACTTTTAATCTGTAGCAAATTGGGGGAAACTACCTGACCGCTGCTGCGATAACATCATTAATTGATTTTAATGATCAGCGAAGAGTCTGAAGGTTTAGACTTTCAGTAGTTCATAGTTAATAGTTATTAACAGGTAATAAAGTATTTGGGAAACAAGGCAAAACTACAAAAAATACCTTAAATTACATTCATTTTAAAATTAATATAAGTGAATCAACCATAACATGTTTACTAGAAGATCCCTTATACTTGCAATCAGGTTCCGAAATATTAAAATTTATGCAATGACGGATAAATGGAGGATATAGAGTTAGAAAAAAAATGAAGGCGCGAACTGAAGCCAAAGACAAAATATTAAAAGTGCTATTTTTTTCGAAAATTGTTGTACGTTTGCAGAAATTTTAAACCAACTGAAAAGATGATTAAGCTATATTCCCAATAAACAAATGTCCTTCTGAATCAAAATGCAGCTCTTGCAGTATGAGTCTTAAATCTTCCCTAATTTATTAAGATCGAGTGGCTGAATTCTCAACTCTGAAAGAACATTTAAAATTTAAATTCATTCAGGAGGGAGTTAGAAATCGAGGATTACCAAATTAAGAATCCTTTCTTCGGACCAAGTTAACTCTACGCACGATAGTTTATTAAAGTTCCGAATTTGCGGCAATTCTAGAAACTAGCATAAGAGCAGCATTTCAAAGTTTTCCTGAGTCGAGAGTCTTTGAATCGATCAAGAAGGCAAATTAATAGAGCATTCTCAAAATTTGTCTTTAGGATTTATGTTATTGGCTTAGCTAAATAAGAAGCTAACTCTAAAGATTTGCACAGTTCACAATAAAGAGCAGATAATAGGACGTTCATCCTGCATCAGTAACACTTCACATTTATGACAAATGGACAATATGTTACCAGAAGGTCAAATCGAATTGGTTTACCAACATTTAAAATTATTGTTATGTTAATAAGGATTATAAGACTGTAGAGACAGTAGGCTTTATTTTGATGTGGGAGATGCAGGGGTTTTATTTTGATACGCGTCGAGCGTGCTGACCATTACACCACGAAGGCATGCTAATAAGGCGGGGGAAATACCTTACAAGACAAATGCCATGTTCCGCCCTAAATGAATGAGACATAAAATTTGCTTCCGCTTTTTTTTAAGGTAATTAAGGTAAATATTTTTAAGGTAATTTTTTCTTAAACAAACAAATTTCATCAGCTAGGCTTCAAACGCAGCCTAATTTCTAACTATTTCTTAAACACTAATTTCCACTGAACAAAGACTTTCTCGATCTATCATTTCTTAAATAGGAAATCAAATATTAGGAATGCTTTATTTACAAGAGGGAAGGCTGAATGAAACGAATGACCGCAACAAGCGACTCTATCCCCCCCCGTAGCTTATGTCCAGTATACGTGAATTTAAAGATACAAGCCTAACCTCATCTCTCTGCGTTCTTTCGCTCTTCTTAAAACAAATATTTGAAAACGTCCCTAGCAGCACTAAGGAGAAAGAATTCATTTTCGAAAACAACTTTTCTACCCGACACGGTATGGAACAAGAGGGAGGAGGAAAGAGGTAAGCCCTGAAACTTCTTTTCAAAACCCCATCAGTGAATTCTATACAAATCAAACGCAGCGTTC